TAAAAAATATATATCATAGATGAAAATTCGTAATATGATAAGAACACATATTTTATAAGTCTCACATGAACTCTACTATACGAAGTTTTTTAGAGAAAGTTAAAAAATAAATCTGTGCAGACTCGACCCAAAGCAGACAATATTATACTAGTATTAAGTTGACTCAGTCCTAACAACTTTCACCCTATGAATTGTAATGATGTCCAGGATGTCACCGTAAAATAAAATATAAATTAAATTACTATTTAAATACAATTTTTGTTATGCTCCATATGCTCTTTTGCATAAGTATTATGAAACTAACATAGACGAATTCATACAATATGATCTTGAATAGAAAAATGAACTCTCTAAATAAGAATTCAAATGGTGAAAAAACCAAAAGTTTTGGTATTATGTGTTTATTATATCGAAAAATATTATTTTTCAATTTTCTTTACACCAAATTTTTGGTATGGTATTTATATAAATTTATAGATCAATATGGGATATGATATTGTTTGATGTTTTTGGTATAGAGAATATACTAAAAAATATGTGGATACCATTTTTATTGCTCAAAATACTTTTTAGACGGTTTGGCGGATCGAGCTGATCGAAAATTTGGTAAATTCTTGAGCTTCCTCAAGAAAATATCCGAACTGCGTATTAATTTCTCAAAAGAATTAATAAACAATCACTAAAACGAAGAGATGATTGAATACAATGGGATAAAAAACAGTAAAATAGTAAGGCAAAACAGTAATACATAAAAATAAATGAAAGATTGATGAAGGTATAAAATCCACAATAACTCACATATTGTAGCACTCATACTTATATTCATATTTCGTGGATCAAAATGCTCATTGCTCTTTGTTTCTTAACTTTTTATGAGGTAAGATTAATTTTAAAAATACACAATGTCCAATAACTGGTTTTCTTTTATTTTTGCATCACAATAGGCTTCCAACTATGAATTAATAAGAGTGATCATCATGAACAAACTATCAACAGCATATTGTGGATTTATCATTCACTTACTGAGATATTTGAAAGAGTAGTGTAAACTCCGGTGAATCCAAAATTAGAGCACATTCATCTCAAGAAAGAAAATGTTTGAATATCTGGCTTGGGTTGTTCATTTTTTTATCTTCTTTTGTGTGAGCTATTAGTTATACACTCTTTATTATTGTATTAGTTTAGGCTTTGATTCATTCTTCGGTTTGATAGAATTTTATTTAGATATCTCTCTGTTAGACTACAAGTATCGTTCTGTGCTCTCAATAATATTTTTCGATTGTGATTTTTAAAAAATAATAATAAACAACACGAAATACGTCTTGCAAAAGTCGAAGTCATAAAAACCTTTAAATACTCGTTACAATAAAGTCAAAAAGTCAAATATTCAACTTAAAATAATATATTTTATACTTTTGACACATTTCTCATACTACATATAAAAAAAATCAATTCATCTAAAAACATTGCTTGAACAAAGCCTATATATATATGTATAAATTTCTATGTGCGCATCCTCTTCATCAAGAGAAATATGTATATCTCGTAAACTTTTCTCTAAACTCTTGACAAAAACAAAATTAATACTCTCACCAAAATTATGTGAGTTTGCTTGAACACGAAGACTAAGAAATAGTAATTTTTTTAATATTAAAATAAAGTAAATAAAAAGTAAATTAGGAATATTATGAAAAATTTATTAAAGAATTTATAGAAATACGATGGAGTAAATAGAAAAATTAGTGATAAATTAATTATATAATATCTATTAAAGGATAATAAAATTATGAATAAATAAAATTATTTATTATAAATAGAATAGATAAATGTATAAACAAATAACCAAAAAATAAATAATAATATAAATTTAATCCGATGAAAGGGGTATTATATAATTAAAATATGTAAAATCTACAAAGAAGAAGTTACATAGGCTTTGTTCTTTCTCTTTTTTCTTCTCACATATTTTCTCAAAAAAATTAATACACTACACACATTTATTATTTTTTATATTTTCTACACAATTCTTTGTACCTTACAAAAAATAAAATAAAATTCTAACAATCTCACAGAACAAACACACTTGAAATGAGTATGAGTTGACAATTACTAGTATAACAAGTATATATTTTAGGTAGATCACAATATGTTTTTTTTTAAAATAATAATAATAATTATTATTATTATTATTATTATTAGTTTTTTAAACGAAACACGTTAATATTTGCGCATTTTAGAAAATTAAATGCAATAACAATAGTTATTAAAAAATCGTTTTTTTAATATAAATTATAACAGTCATTAAAAAAAAAAAAAAAGGTTTATGAAGCAATAAATATTTATCATATCCCACTAATATTTCAAAATGGAGTATATATATAGGTATATATTGCAAAGTTTGTAATGGTATGCGCTAAACCTCGTAATAATCCATGAACTCAATCATTAGTTTGCCACCATGCCACGTGGAAGGCATGAGCCATTGATGATCTAAGCATGAATCAGATGGTATGATGAATGATGCTTCCGACAGAGTAGTATATTAATTAATAAACTTTTCTTTTTAATACACAAACTAATTTTATAAATATGTGTATATATATATTTATATATATAGACACACAACATGCACCCTTACTGCTTTTCTACTCCATAGTCCGTATGCAGATTCAACAAAGATATTACACATATACATACATCTCTCTCTCTCTCTCTCTATATATATATATAATATATGTATTGAGAGAGATCCTTAACACTCAAATAATATAGGTACAATATATATATAGAGAGAGAGAGAGAGAGATACATTATCATGGTTCTTCACCACACCACCTATTGATTCTTCCACCCAACCATGCACCCACCCACCCACCCACCTAGCTGCTGCTATATAGTGATCTTCTCCTACAGCTCTTGCAGTCCTCCAATGGCAGCAACAGATGTATGAATAATGGCATCATGTTTCATCTAGCAATCATCTTACTTTACAAGCATCCAATGTTTAAGGCATCAGTGGGACATACCTTGCCTTTCCCATCTACTGTTAAATTAATATTCCACAATATTAATTTCTCAATATGTGTATATATATAATAATAAAAAAAATCAAATTATACAATAATATATATGTATAAATATATATATATAGTATTCAGATGAAAGCAGGCATGCTTTATAATAAAATTATACAAATATTCCCAATTATGTATATATATATATATGCTGTGACAAAATTATATACAAATAATTATTTGAACTATTATGTTGTTTTTTGTGATATTATTTTATTAAATACTCTCTCAATCTTACTCAATTATATCTAATTTGTATGCGTGTATTATTTATTTATGTCATGTAGGAGGCAAATATATAAATAAAAAAAAAAAAAAAAAGAATTGATGAACTTAGAGAAAAAATAAAAAAAATAATAATCAGCTTTGGATCATTTAGGTGGTTATGATTATGACTAACTCAACTCTTTTGACATGAATATTAATTAAAGGTCCAAGTGTCCAATTGATACAAAAATATGACAAAAAAACAAAAAAAGAAGGAAGCACACTTATAAGAAGGAGACACACAGAGTATATACTAACATTGTAGATGCAGAAAACTGACAGAATATTTTCTTTTATACTATAATTTTATTTTTGTTTTGTGTTAGTTGTTACTTGACGATGGAGTAGATTTTTTTTTTTTTTTTTAATTCGAGTGATAATGATGTTTTGGTACTTGTATTTTTTTTAGGATTTCTAATTATTTTATAAAAAAATCTCTTGATTATCAATATTTGTATAACTTTGGAAATATAGTTTATAATTGTTGAATTTGATATATATTTTTGTATTGGTATTTAATTCAATCTAATAATCAACCGTCAATTCAGGTGAGATATTAGTAATTGTATTGACACTTGAAGAATAGATGACAACAAAGTTGAATAGTTAATTTCTCAGATTAGGCATCTAATTACTTATTGTAGGTAGTAATTGTTTTGAATTGAGCTTCTTTAAGTTAGACAATCATTCCTATAGGTGTACATAAGTTTATTATCTTGGGTAGTTAACTGGACATACTATAGTTATGACACTTTAAGAAAATATTAATTGTATTGTTATAATTATAATCAATTTATTGATAATCTAATAAAATCAATTTCATTAAATCAATGATAAAATATGAGTATAATAGTTAAATAATCATTTGAGTACACTTCCATTGATTGATAGTTCTCCATTAAATAAATTGCTTTGTTATTTTAATTTCTTAGATTATAATAAAATCCTTCATTTTTATTTACTGTATCAGATATAAGAGAGTAAATTACACTATTTTTTTTTTTTTTTATGGAGACGATCTCCTATATTGTATTATATTATCACAGAGTAGGTAAATTATTTGATTTACCTTGCAACGGGATAGATATGTACTAATAAAAAATAATTACAGTGCAATACAAATAACTATAAATTTAGATTACAATAATTAATTAGTGTAATTAAGATTAAAATAATTATAAATTAAAAAATTTAAGTATATAATATTTTTTAAAAAAATATAAGTAAAGTATGAGACGTGAGACACAGACTAAAACGACATCATACACATGATATATGAGACAAATAGATTAGCATAATATCCTAATTCCGAAAACCTACTATAGACACACATATATATATATATATGTATATGTATATATAGAGAGAGAGAGAGGAAGAGAGAGAGGAAGAGAGGGAGAGTAGTTAATATAACCAGACACCAAAACTTCTTTTGAATGAAGAAAAAGAAACCCCAAATGCCATTAATCTATCTATATATGTACAAGTATATATGATGGTGGCGCAGGTGATGATCAAACCACACACACTACCCAGTAGTCCTTCCATTTCACGTCAATATATATATATATATATATATATATGAGATCCAATCCCTCCTCCTTCAGACACTATAAATACCTATCACATTATCTTCCCTACCACCATTTCCATCGACATTAATCCACTCCCACTTCCACTCACAAAAATGAACATATATCATCCTCCCTACCCTTAATTAATTATGTAGATCCTAAACTTTACACATGCATAAACCTCCAAGAAATTGCTCTCTGATCTCCTCCTCTTTCGTGGGCTTTCATGGGGGATAAAAACTTCACCTTGCCACCCGGTTTCCGATTCTACCCGACCGACGAAGAGCTCGTTGTCCACTTCCTACATCGTAAGGCTAATCTCTTGCCTTTCCATCCAGACATCATTCCAGATCTTGATCTTTACCCATACGATCCCTGGGACTTAAGTGGTAAGTAAAACACAAATGTATTAATTGCATACAATTATATATATTTGATCAATAATCATTACATGCACGTAGGCAAAGCCATGGAGGAAGGGAAAATATGGTACTTCTATAGCAGGAGGACACAAAATAGGGTCGCGGGGAGCGGATACTGGCAGCCTATAGGGGTCGAGGAACAAATATGTTCGAGTAGCGAACAAAAGGTAATCGGCGTAAAGAAGCATTCTGCCTTTTACTTAGGTGAGCCACCGCACGGTGTGAAGAGCGATTGGATAATGCAAGAGTATAGACTCCCGGATTCGTGTTCATCATCCTCCCGATCATCGCGAAAAAGAAGTTCCAAGAAGGTATGTTCATGCATCATTAATCAATATATCTAATTAGCAACAAATCGAATGGGGTATCTTGTTACAATGTGTGTTTGTTTCATTGATATTTTTAGTAATTAGTGCCCAAAAAAGTTTAATTTAATTGGGATTGAGATATCATGGGTGTGTTTCTTTTTATTACCTTGGGAAAAAAAAAAAATTTGAATTTGGTATTAAAATAATGTTTGATGGCGAGTTTGTAAGAAAAAAAAAATATTTTTATTTTTTTTTAGGGAACGTCAGGGACCAAATAGTAAAAAACTGGTTGGTTTTTGGTAAAAAAAAAAAAACACACCCATTGTGTTTGTATATATATATATTGAAAATTGTATTTGTTGTAGGATTATAGTAGATGGGTTGTTTGTCGAGTGTACGAGAGCAACAACAACGGGGACAATGGCGACGACGGGAAAGAGCTTTCAAGCTTGGATGAAGTGTTCCTATCACTCGACGATCTTGATGAGATTAGCTTCCCAAATTAAGTGAATTATTCATAAAACATTAGGGTTCAGAAGAAGAAATATAATAAGAAGTATATCTAGGGTTTAGGTATGCATGTTGTGATCCTAAAGTGTAGAATGTCCCCAACTTTTTGCTTAATTCAATATATATATATATATATATTATACATATGTATCGATAGCTAGAATATATATATATGTATGTATGTATGCAATTAATCAAGCTAATTTCATTTTTCGAATTAGAATCTTGAAAATCCATATTGGAATTTTGTGTATGAAGATACGAGGAGATCAAGAAAAGTGAATTAATGTTGCTTCAAATTTGATAAAAGAATTGAGGGCCCTAACCTAACGAGGATCTACGTGCCAAGAATGGCTCATAAGTGGAATGGAATGGTGGAATTAGGGTGTGTTTTTTCAGGGAGGTTTGGGAAAATTTGAATTTTGTTTTTATTTGAATTTTGGGATGAGTTTGAATTTTATTGTTTCTTTTGTGTTTGATTTTGACTAAGATTTGGGGAGTTTTTATGTATATTGATATGATGCATAATTAATAAAATAATATAAATGTGTATTAAATTTAATTGATAAAATTTATATTGTATGATTTGATTATGAATTTATATTATATCCAATATATATATTTAAATTTTTATTTATTTGTATTATAGAAAATTTTATTCTCTACAAAATAATATATATTGTATATACTTTTTTAACTCATAATAATTATCAATATTAAATAAATGAAATATTCGAATTATATTTATATTTTAAATAAAATAATAATAAAGTGCAGCTTATCTGCTGCACTGCGGGTCTTTTATGCTGCACTGTAGCGATTTGCAAGTGTTTCGATTTGACGTCCGAATTACTGTGTACAGTAATTGCACAGTGATTTGGCCTAACAGGCTTGGAGAAACATAGAAATTCACTAGAAATATATATACAATATATATAATATCATATATATATGGTTTCTTGGGTTTTATTCATAGATGGATGGGGTTATGATTGCTGATTGGCATTTTGGTGTTTGGTACTAGTCGTTTTGTGTCAGTCACAACAAATGTAACCAAAGCTAGCTTTGGTGGCCAACATTTTCTACTACTCATTGGTGGATGCTTAGGTAAGCATTCAGTCACTTGTGACGGTGCAATCACATCCAACTCTTCCCTAGCTACGAAAAAACATCATACATACATATGTCATATCATACATTGTGTATTCCATTTTTGTTGAAAAATTATTTTGTAAGTTGAAAAGTAATTAAAATGATTATATGTATTTTAAGAGCCAATTTGTTTAGGAATATATCTAAATGTATTTTAATTCATGAGGAATATGAGAAAAAATATGTTATATATTAAAAAAAAAAAAATAGCATATTACACCTCAGCAACATGTGATATTTTTTCTTCTGCATTTTTCATCTATCATTTATCCTATCTAACAAATTTGATATCAAATCGCTAAAACAATGTTCAATTCTACAGTACCCACTATGTTTGAGTATTATATTCCGTAAAGTTTCAATATTTGAAGGAGATAATTAGAATGATTATAGTTGTAAAATGCAAAATTTATTTATTTCACAGGATCTCAGCAAAAATAGTGCAAAAACTATAAGAAAAAAAATTGCACTGCACTTCGCTATATCAAGCAAGAAGTTGGTAAGAGAATTTATCAAGCGAATTTTCAATAAAAGAAAGAAAAATATGCATGGAAAATGTTGAAGGAGGAGTTTCATAGCAATGAACGAGTTATCTCTGAAGGCCTTCAATCTCTATAAAAGGATTTCAACAACTTGGCGATGAAAGAGAGTGAAAGTGTGAATAAGTTTTTTAAAACAGTCGTTGATATTGTAAATCACATTGAAAGTCTGAAAGACACCGTCCAACCAAGAAGGTAATCGAGAAGATTCTCAAAAGTTTACCTCCAAACTTTGACCATTGTGTTGCTGCCATAGAAGAATTCAAAAATTTGTCCAAAATGTCACTTGAAAAGTTGATGTCCTCGCTTCGGGTTCACGAACATAGGATTCACTGAGCACAAAATCAGTCGCTTGAACAGGTAGATTTTCATTAATTTATTTATTAAAAATAAAAATATTAATTTTTTTTTAATAAATACTTTCTTTGTTCCATTTGAAAAGAGATTTTTAGAATTTTGTAATACTTCCTCTGTCCGGCTCTAAGGTATCATTTATTTTTTAATATTAAAAATATTATTATATTTGTATAATTTTTTTTTTCCACAAATGTTAGCATAAAAATATTTTATATTTTCCCTTAATTTGTATTACATTTTTATATAATAATTAATATTCAAATATCAACTGCAAATAATAAATGCAATATTTTGATATTTATTAGTTAGTGAAATAATGTAAGATATTTTGATATTTTTGTATTGCAATAATACGTTTATAATATAAAAATTAAGGATTAAAAAAAATAATTCAAGAGACAGAAAGTCCTATTGAATTGATCGTTTCGTGAAGAAGCTTGAGTTCATTCATAAATATAACAAACTAAAGTGTATGTTCATATTCAGCCTTTTTAGCACCAAACGAACTTGAACTCAAATAAACCAAATCCAGTTGAATTCGTGAACAATTAGTTTGTTTTACTGTTGTAGCAATCATTGGGATGCAACGGCAGATCTAAAGAGGAACTTGAGGGGCACCGACGAAAGATCACATGGTTTGCTTGCTTGCTGTTAAACTGCTGTAAATTCGCGTCCATGTTTAGATTTTTGAAAATTCTAATCCATTGTTAGGTTATAGGTCTGCGTGGTCTCGACTCGAGTGGGGACGATCCTGCTCGCACGCTACCTGTTCGATCAAAGTCCTCAATCATTTGGAGAAAACAATAACCAATGGTGTTTGCCTCTCTCAACTACTTTGACATCTTATTTATTTCGATTTCTGATCTTACGTACAGTTGCACCTCTTCTAATACCAACATATTGTATGATTTTGAACCTAATTAATTTCATGTCTACTTATTTTCAAAGATCTCTGCAACTTACAGGATCTTCGCTCTGTACTGTACTGTACATACATTTTTGTTAAGTGTTCATAGTTAGAGCAGCTAACCAGTTGGAGCTTGCATTTGTACAGAACAATGGCCGAAAACTTGTCTTCACCACGCCTGCGTATAACCTCCGGCGACACGCTGTCGATACGGATACTGCTGATGTTGTAATTGTTGTCCATTTCCTAATCCCGTCCACCTCGCCATTCCCATTCCCATTCCGTCTCTTGGATATTGTTGCGCTGGTGGCTGAATCCAATGTGGCTGCTGGTCTAATAAAAATCTTTGGTTTTTGTCGGGCATGTGCGTCGTCGTTTGTGGAACTATGGCAAGAGAAGCAGCAAAAGGGTCGGCGTTATATGGCAGGCCGACATTGCCAGGTAGCGGCGCAGGCAGAGCTGAAGGAGTCGTAGGCGCCGTGCCATCAAGCATGAATGGATTGAATGATGCCTTGTGGTTATTCAGTGAGGTCTTCTCCCAATTGCTCGGCGTGTTGTTGTCGAAGGTTTCCCATTGTGTGGTCGATGAATCGCTGAAGGCTTCCCATTGGGGGACGGTGATCATACTTGTTGGAGTAGTTGTGGTTGCGGCTGGAGGATTCCCGTCGTATAAAACCAACGCCATCTTATTCCCGGGATCTTGATTATCGCACGGCGAATCCTCGCTCAGGTCGAGCAAATCGCCTACCTCTTGAGTCTTTATCATCTCTTTGCTTACTTCGTTGGTGTTATCTGGTCGTTCTATATATACATTCACCGGCGACAATGCCTTGATTACACGCTCGTCGTCTGGCTCCGCGCCTGTCTTGTTGCTGCGCAGAAGTTTAGACTTTTCGTGGATGAAGTCGTACATCGTGTCGAGCTTCGCCTTGGGGATCTTCTCCACGACCGGGTACTTGGAAGCGCCCATGATTCGGTTACTCTTGCACCAGTAGTAGAACGTGTCGAGCTCGTCGTACTGCTGCGAAACTTGGAAGAAGATCCTATGAACTTGAACCATGTCCAACACTTCGAGCTGCATGAACCGGTCGATCAAGGTCGCGATGACTTCGGTCATGTCGTAGAATATGTTGAAGCTCTCCGTCACTATCGGTTGCAGCGCAACGATAACAAACTTGTTGCGCTTCGCCGCACCTATAAATTCAAATTATTTATTTAAACTTAACATTTTAGGTGAGATGATAATTTAATTGACAGATTCGTTACCAGTGGGCTTGCATGCGAGAAACTTCTCGAGAAGCCGCATGAGGCGATGCACCCTGGCGAATACGGCGTCGTTGCTCATATCGTGCACGGGATTCGTTGTCGAGACGGCGGCAGAGGCGGTCTCGGCCTGGTGCTGCATTATTCTGAAGTCGAGGTGGTCGTCGACGTACTGGGCGAAGGTGCGGACGAAGGCGGAGAAGTCCCAGGAGTCGGCCTTGGAGGTGGCGTCGCGGAAGGTGGACATGTTGAGGAAGCGGGAGCCGTGGCGGGAGGCGGAGAAGAGCTCGTGGCGGTAGCAATGGTGGGCGTCGTTGATGAGGCGGTGGACGAGGAGGAGGGTCTTGAGCGCCACCGCCCAGTTCCTGGTCTTGCTGAGGCGGTGGCCGATCTTGGCGACGCAGGCGGCGACGAGGGGGCGGGAGAAGGCAATGAGGCGGATGATCTCCCGCACGTGCCGCTCGTGCGGGGGCCGCTCGTCGTGGCTGGTGGCCTTGATGACGGCGATCTCCAGGTCCGACACGCTGTTGCTGCCGGCGACCAGCGCCATTCCGATGCTCGTCTGGTCCTTCACCAGCCCGATGGCCTTTCGCATCTTGCTTGGCCCCATCGAAGATCGATCAGGGAGAATTAATGAATTATTGGATTCTAATAATTAATTGGATTGAATGATGATATTGGTGTGTTTGTTGTCGTCGGTGATCTGATTTGATCGACGCAGGGTGTTTCTGCGGAAGTTTCTGAGCTAGAATGAAGGGCATCCGTTGGAAGTCAATGGGCAGCCAGGCCAGGAGGACGTTTCCTCCGCCAACACAGACAGATAGACAGGTTTACTAAAGTCGCGTTTTTAAATGTGGAACAGCTGTCGCTTTTCTAAAATCGCGTTTGCAGCACTCTCTTTTTTTCCTTTTTTTTTTTGTTTTATATTATAATACTCCCTGTGTCCTCCAATAAAAAGTAACATTTATTTTTTTATTTAAATTTTTTAATATTCGTATTATATTATGTTGTAGTAAAAAGTTTTTTATTAATATTGTGTGATACAAAGGTTGTGACATTTGTGTAATATATTGTAAATTATATTTTAAGTTGGAAGGATATTTATTATGTTAAGTAGGTAGTACGGTTACTAAATTAAATTAAGAAATGGTATCCTTGTTTTGGAACCGAAAAAAATGAAAAAATAGAATCCTTCGGAGGGAATATATATGTATAAGAGATCGATATGGAGTTCACTTCATCATTTTTTTTTATCATTTTCTTTATTTTTTTAATAAAATAAATATGTATTAAATATTATTAAGTATATCATAATTAATAAAATTATAATTACTACATTTTTAAAGATAAAAATTGATTTAATTTTATGATTAAAAAAAAGTATAATATAATTTTATGTCCATTTATACCTCTAACTAAGGGTGATGAAAATTTAATAATTTTGAAATATAATTTTTATTATTTTTAAAATTAATAATAATTATATTGCTAATCAATAAAAATAATTATTGAATATAATATTTATTGAAAAACTATTTTATATCTTAGATTGAAAGAAAAGAAAATAAAATAAAATAGTAAATAATTATAACATTACAAGATAGATTTCATCTATTCATTATTATTTTGACGACAAAAATCTAGTATATCATTAATACAAGAGTTTATTAATACTTTTATATATTACGTTTTTATTTTTATAGTACCAACTTTATTTTCATGGGCACGACCAAAAAATCGTGGCATAATAAATTTTGTATCAATTATTAATTTACCATAAGAATATTTGTATCTTTTTACCGGATATTATCAATATAGTAAATTTAATACTATTGCAATAGATTAGCACACTAGTTATTATTATTATTATGTTTAGGATATTTTGTATATAAATGTTTAGGATATTTTGGATAAATTTTTGTTTATATGCATATTTTTTTTTAAGATTTTGCTTAGACAATAATTTTGAAAATTTTTTTTACACTGTTTAAATTTATTTAAAAAGATTATTAATTATCATACTATATTCTATTTTCGTCTCAAACAAAAATAAAGCTTTTTGTTTAAACACAACAATATAGGTGATATAAATTAATTATTTAGATAATAGGGATTAGTTATTTAATAATTAAAAAAATTAAAATATGATGTTTAAATATTTTTAAATATCTCATTAATATATATACAATATATAATTATTATCATAAATTAGTTTTTTAAAAAATTGTTATTGGTAAATAAAAATATTTGTTAATTGAAAATAGATGAAGATAAAGGAGTCTTAATAGGTTAAAATTTTAATTAAATTGATTTATATTTGTTAAGTATGTTTAATATTGATAAATTTATTAAAAAATCATCTTTTTATGAAACAAACAAAAAAAAAATGAGCATTTATGATGGGACAATATTATTATTTTTTATTTAAACTTTTTTTAAAAACTTAAAACTCTCAAAAATATTTTTATAGAATAAAATCTTAATACTATTTATTAGTAATTTTTTTTAAGAAAAAGTTATAATAAATATTTATTAATTATTAAAAAATAAAACTTCAAAAATACAAAAATCCTATTTGTATAGTGAAAAAAGCTTTTTGTTTAAAGCATTTTCTATTCGGTAAACTATTTGATCTTATTTATTATTTTAGAACTTAAGTGGATTATGTTTGAAAATAGTCTCGTAAGTAAAATAAAAATAAAAAAATTTCTACAAGGACCCTTTGGTGTTAAAAATTGCCACGATGGTCCGCCGATCCTGACGTGGTGGTGACACCGTTGACATGTCATCACCGCATCTATACCATATCAACTACACGTAAATTTTCTTCTTTTCAATTTTTATTAGATGTGTACAATAGCTCTAGTTTGCTTGCTCACTAAATCTTCACATTTCACATCCAACTTTCTATTTTTTCCAAAAGATTCTTAATTTATTTCTTGATTACTCAAAAATGGACTTTAAGGGTGTATTTGTTTGGGGGATTGGATTGGATTTATACTATTCATCTAATTTTTTTCTCCCAAAAAATATCAAATCAAACACATATTTTTCATTTTTTATATTATACTAAAAATTAATTTTACATTCAAAACATCACATCAGCACTTATTTATATCACATCATACAACTATTCAAATTCAAATTTTTACTATTCAAATCCCAATTCAAAATCCAAACCCCCAAACAAACACACCCTAACCAAGTTTTCATCATATTCCATCTTGGGCCGAATTGGGGCCGTTTGGGCGGACCGATTCACTCCTCCGAATTAGGCTGGTAATCTCATGTGGAGACTCAAAATATTTGAAATTACCAAATAAAATAGAAAAAAATAATTTTCTTACAACAATAACATATATTATTTTTATTTGAATTTATGAAAAAAGTGTAACTAAGTAATTTATTAAATTCAAAATTTCTATCTATATAAAAGTTTTTTAAATTTTAAAAACAAAAAATGAATATATTTCTTTTAATGATTGTTGATCAACTCATGTAGTCCTTTCAAATTTCCAATTCCATCGTAATTGAGAAAGTTGGCATTGAAGGAGTACCATTTCCATCCAACGGTCAGAATTATCAGTTGGCGACGGACAAGATTAAACGTTGATGGAGTCAACAATATGCTCGCAAATAAATATCCGAAAGCGGAAATTCCTCCGGCACTTCTGTACTGCGATCCTCCAAGACTACCCAGGGGGGTTTGTGGAAATCCCTTGCTCTCATCTCTCCTTCAGGTGCAATTCAGTTTTGAAGGGTTTTTTAATTGCGCTTGCTAATGAAATTTATGTAGCCAATAGATCTGAATTGAATTCTGTAAGATGCTTTTTTTTCTAAAAAAATAGCTTTTCTATTTTTTTATTTTTTTCAAAAATCGATTGTTCGGTGCTATAGGTGATTTGCGGATTTTCGGAGAATTTGGTAGAGGATGTTTGAGTTTATAATGATTGAGTTCGGAGAAGCAGTTATGGAAGTGGTATACGAGCATATTAAAATGATTTTTTGTGATCGCGGTACATGTGTTTTCAATCATGAAACCTTTCCGGTAGAATATCGAAAAGCAGGAGATGATATTGAGATGCTGGAAGAATTTTTATGATATGCTTGAAGATAGATAAGCAACTTGGTGCGACTGTCTTGTCAAGTTTCAATTACACACTTTTGTCACAAATTTAGGGTTTATCAAGTTTAAAACCATATCTTGGCTTTGAAAATACTTTTTTTATATATTTTGGAATAAAATGATTATCTTCTGAAGTTGAATGCTAATTTCTCTGTTTTTCCATTTTCATGTTTTGTTAAACAAGCACCTGTTTCTTCCGGAGAGAAACAAGAAAAATGTCTTTAGCAAACAAATGTAGTTTTAATTATTTGATAATGGTAATATGCTTCATTGTTATCATATTGGGGGATACTGATTCTACAATTTAGAAGATGAACACCTTGATATTTCTGCGAAGCAAGAATTCATATGTTATTACTTTCAAAGTGCTAATGCAAAATCTAATTCCGGAAAGAAAGAATCAATCTTGCAATGCCTTTTGTTCCCTAGTGAATATTAGATTTGGAAAATCATCCTAGGTTCCTGATATGTGCTCGGACTATGTTGGGGTTAGCCGTTATGGCTTGACATGATTTTCCTTTTGTTGCGTAGATCCAGTTACTTCATTGTGCTTCTTTCCCTTTCCCAATTCATTCTTTTGTGCTTTTAGGAAGAAAATTAGTCTGAAATATGTCTGATGATTCCGAGTACCGATGCTTCATTGGTGGCTTATCATGGTCAACATCTGATCGGGGTCTGAAAGATGCTTTTGAGAAGTTTGGGCATCTTCTTGAGGCGAAGGTAACATGTTAATTTATTGCATTACATTTCTTACTTTTAAGTATTTAGCGTTCGCTGAAGGGAGTGTCAGATGCATTAGGGCTTTAACTACATCTGTAACTCATTCAGCATCATCTTTTTGTGATTTCTTATTATATATATATATATCATTTCAATTATGATGTGCACATTCTTGTGGTGAATGATTGTGATGCCATCCATTAGCACCTATATTCACTGGATAATCAAATGCTGCAACCCTGCCAACCCTCTCCCCCTTCCCATTTCCATATACAATATAAAAAGAAATAATTTAGCTTAATTTGCACTATCAGTTAGTCATTTTATTGCCAAGATTTAAAAGTTGATTTGTTACGAAGATATACAAGCATAGCTTCACACCATGAAAGCAGTTTAACATCTTCAATCTAGGTGGTCATCGACAAGGTCTCTGGGCGCTCTCGTGGATTTGGCTTTGTCACCTATGATGAAAAGGAAGCAATGGAAGAGGCTATTGAAGCCATGAATGGGATTGACTTAGATGGCCGTACGATAACTGTTGACAAAGCACAGCCTAACCAAAGTTCTGGCAGGGACTATGATAATGAACGTCCACGAGACCGTGATCGAGGGCGTGATCGTCCCCGAGGTAATGATTATGGAGGTGGGAGGGGATCTGGTGGAGGAGAGTGTTTTAAGTGTGGCAAACCGGGACACTTTGCTAGAGAATGTCCTAGTGAGGGTTCTAGAGGTGGTAAATATGGAGGCAGGGATAATCAATATGGTGGCAGAGGTGGTGGTCGTTTTGGCCCAGATCGAAGTGGGGATCGATTTGGAGGAGGACGTAATAGAGATGATGGTGGTCGTGGAGGTGGTGATCGATACAATCGTGATCGTGCAGGACCATATGACCGCCGGGGTTCTTCTGGCTTTCGATCTGGGTAATATGCTCCTGGTTCGTGATATGAAATAATTTGATACTCCCTTTGTCATTCAAATTTATTTTCTCTTTCATTTTTTTTTGTTGTCATCCAAATTTATTTTCATTTTCATTTTTTTTTTTGTTGTCATCCAAACTTATTCTTGTTTCCCTTTTTAGTAAAATAAATACCATTTTTTTTATTATTTTTTTTTACCATAAAAAGAAAAGGTTTTTATTTTTACCCACTTTTTTAAAAACTTGTGCTCGGTCAAATGGGCATAAGTTTACATGACGGAGGGAATAATATCTTCTCATGCTTTTATAGAGCCTTATGTTCTCATTTTATACTTGTGACAGCTGAAGTCGAGGCCCTTAGACTGGGGATGCAGTTATGGTGGAGTCCTTTCATGTCATCTCCTAAAACCGTTCGTACTTGTGAAATTGTGAAACCAGATTAATATCTACTAAATTGTGTCCCTGAAATGATCGCTGGTTTTGTTCATTGGGGTCCTTTTACTGCGTGATGTGCAACTCGAATCTGGTCTTGCGCTTTTGAATGATAATATGCTGCTGGTTGTCTGCTTGCTTGATTAACCTATGCTAAATGCTGCTGGAATTATATAATTGCTCTCACGGGAGTACGGTATGTGACTGTGTATGGAGAATTGTACGGTTCCTGGATTGATGTGAAAATGTGGAGTTGCTGATTGTAACGCACGACTAATCCTCGGTTATGGTTGTGCCACGAAACTTAGAGGCCATTGTAGAAGCCATAACCCTTTCTTCTAAACTCTTCTTTAGTTAAAAGGGATTTCACCGGGTAATTTTTATTATTATTATGGTTTTATTCATCTTGGATTAGATGTCTTAGAGCAAGATCATAATATTTATTAATGTCAGGCATTAATTTTGCTAAACTTTTGGCAGGGTGCCTGGTTAATAAGTGGCGTGTTTGGGGAGTTGGTTGATGGTTGGTCCGGTCCGGTTGCATTTGCTAATTGAGTTCCATTTAAACATAAATATAGTTGAAAAAGAAAAGCTTTTTGGTTGTGAAAGACAGTCTGCAAGTTCTTGGGTAAGGGGAGTAAAGCAACTGCCATGGTCCGTCGGTCAGTCAGTCATGTCTGGTGTTGTCTTGTTTGGAGGGACGGAGGGAGGCCTTTTCTTGTTGTGTTTCTGTTGAGTTGACTCGACTCAACGCTTTCTTTTATCGCCTGAGCTCATCCTCATCCTCATCCACATCATGTGTGTTTCGTTTCTTACTCTACTTACTCTCATATCATGTTGGCCTTCATATCTTGGAGAGAGATCGATGGAGAAGGCTGGCTACACAGGTACGCAAAATTGTGCTGATTGTGTTCTCTGTTGTTGGCTTACTATGCTATGGCAAGAGTATAATTTGTTTTCTATTTTGCTACTGCTTCATTTTTGCTCAACTAAGCCTTTAAATTGGATATATTTTGCATTTTAGGGGATCTTCATGCTAGATTGATTGTGTTAATAGATTGATTGTCTCTGTTAGTTTTCATTATTTGGTGATATGGTTCACTTTTTTTTAGGTACGAGTTTATTATACTCCTGCTCTTTGTGATTTTGTGCTTATTTTTTTTCAGTATATATTTATGTTATCATTTCTCGTGTTTTTATTTCGAGAGACTAGTCAGTAATACATGCATTGGAAGGGAAGTTGGCAGGGATAGTATTTCTAAATGGCCAATTCAGAAATAAATGCTTAAACAGGCTAAACAGTGCAAATGTGATTAATTGTTAGCCTTATCTGCATCAATATATATATATAGCTGTTTACATCCGAGTCGACCCAAATTTTAAGTGTTCGTTAACGTTTGCGAACAAGACTCGTGTTCGTTTGTTAAGCTTTCGAGCTCGTTCGTAGTGTTCAAGCTCGGCTCGTTAAGAATTTTTGTTGTTTGAGTTCGTGTTTGTGTTCGAGTTCGATTAAGCTCGTTTGAACTCGTTTGTCGTATTTTTTAAAATTTATATATAAATTATAAAGAAAATTTAAAATTATTTTATTTATATATTTTAAATTAATGTTTTATTTATTTATAAATTATAATTTTATATGTATATATAATATTTATAATAAATATATTATTTAAACGAACGTTCGCGAAGAAATATCGGGCTCGTTCGTTAACCAAACAAGTCTGTTTATGTTGTTCGGCTCGTTAATGTTTGTGAATGAGTTTTAACCGAACGGAGCTGAGTTCACGAACGGCTAGGTTCGTCTAATAGCTATATATATATATATATATACACACATATAGATGCTTTCATTATCATCCTGATTGGATCAGTACAATATATATTAATATAATATATACATTTTGATAGCATATTAGATAAATACATGTAGTACGGAAGTGAACAATAACACAATAAATATATTTCTTCCTTCCTTCGACAAATTATTTATTTTTTTATTTTGGTCTGTTTCATAACAAAATATTAATTTCAATTTATAATATATTACACAAATATTATTACTTTATATCACATAATACTAATAAATTATTTTTAATTATTTTTATTTTATTCTTAGTATATTTTAATATAATATTAATATTTCTAAAACTTCTTTTAAAAAGGATACGGATATGGAGTTATTTTATTCCTAGTATATTTTAATATAATATTAATATTTCTAAAATTTCTTTTTAAAAGAATACGGATATGGAGTATTATACAACGCAGTATATAATTCACATTGCAAATGTTAATCAATGTATAGTATATCACAATATATTATTTTTACATAATATATAATCCACCTAATATACATTTCTATATAACATATAACATATTATTTGTCCGGTAATGAAATGTTAATTGTTTAACTTAGTATGTTAATTTTTTCATGTGGTATGGTATATCTTGTGATGACATGTTAGTGTGCTAAATTTATCAAATTAGTATCGCATTTATTTGATTTAATCAGCATTATAAGTACTAATATATATATATATATATATATTGTTGTAGAAATAGTCAAATAAAATTTTTGGACGAATTTTGGGAAAACTAATTGGATTTGGTATTAAAATAATATTTTCTAAAAAATATTTTGTTTCAAGAAAGAAAAAATTTACTTTCATCCATCCCATTTAAAATGACTTATATCATTTGGACACCTTATTTCTAGTAAATGTGGTTTAATACATTAATAATAATGAGTTATAATTAAGATAAATCTATTTTATAAAAAAATATAAGTTTAAAATGTAGTAAAAGTATTTGTTGATCAAAGAGAAAGATAAAAATGAAGAAATTTTGAATGAATCTTATTAAGATTTATTAACATATATTTAAATGTAATAAATTTTACCAAAAATATAAACTGTGTTAATTGAAGTGAGAAAAAAAAAGAAAAAAAGAAATGAAGACAATTAAAATAAAAGCAAGTATTTAAAAAAAATAATGTAGAATTCAAATAATAAAATTTGAATATAAAGTAAGCATGTGATGCGCGGATTCTAGTAAAGGCAATGGTTGCAAGTGCCATACTGATTTTATCACACAATAAGAAATTTTTTTATAATTAAATAATTATATCACCACTAAAAATATCATTGTTATCCAAAAATATTTTAATGAATTATTTAAAATTTAAACTGTCATGAGTGTTCGTATAATTAAAATTCAATCCAATGAAAATAATTAATTTATATATTAAATATATATAATAGTATTATAATATTATTTTATATATCATTAATAATAATTTATTTTTATAAATATTAATATTATTATTTTAATATATATTTTTTAATAATATATCCATCATTAAAAAAAAATTTCTAGATCCGCCTCTGTGGCTATAGTATTTGTAAAAGGTATACAGAAGTGGTATGCACGAGGAAGGAGGCAATTAGAGGGATGGAAAATGTTGCGGAGAACTACATCATCATAATTTTCATTATATCATATACTGCCAAAATCATGGAAAAATAGTTTCATTGAGTTTGGACATAGTTTTTATTGTAAAGTGTATTTCTTATTTTTTATAATACGAGAGTGTTTAAAATATGCTGAGATTTAAAAAAAAGATTAAAAATTTTGATTTTACAGGTACTCTGATACTTTCCAATTTCATTTCTAAAATTTTAATTTTACTTTTATAAAAAAAAAATAATATTATATCTACTATAAAAAAAATTTAAAATTACATATATACTTGATCCAAATTAAAATTTTCGTATTTTATTAAAAAAATATTATAATAAAATAATTAATAAGTTAAACTCAAAAAATATTTTTAATATAATTATATTATTATAAATTATTTTTTCATATTTATAGTTGATATATTATTAATATATTACCTCTGACTTACACCTAATACTAAAATAATTGAATTCAACTTTTCAAATAAATAGGTTAAGTTCGGTCGGGTCTCGAGTTTAGACGTACCTATTGTCATTCCTTTAAAATTATTGATATCTTTTCAATTTATATTAATAATAAATTAAAAGTTTAATTTATCAAAATAAATAAAATTCTTAAGAGGATAATTATGTCCTTTAAAATATAAAGAATTCAAATTTTTCAACTCATATAAAAAAAAAAAAAAATCAGAAATATAAATCCCACATAATTTTACCAACCAAACATAAAATTCCAAATCTCAAATATAATAAATCCCAAAAAATATAAATCCTACCTACAATTTCAATTCCACAAAAACAAAAAAAATCCATAAACCAAAGAGACTTGGTCGAATTACCATTTCTTCTTGATCGATTAATCAAATCCTGCAGTTTTTTTTTTTTTTTCAATTTTCAATTGAATTTGATGTTTTACCAATAAATATAATAATTTAATTCTTATTCTCAAAGATTTATTATATATATATACATTATTGTCATTTCTTATCAATTTTATTCTTGGTACTAAACTATCAATAAACACATGGATTTGCTAGCTTTATTTATTTGTTTATTTCAATTTTCTAACTATGAATCTTCCTATTTTTCCCAAGCACCAAATTCCCTAAAACGCCTACAAGAATACATCAAAACAGAAATTAGAAGATCACCATGAAACAAAAAAAGAAAAAACTACTTTCATGTTATTATAACACAACACAGCTCATTTAATCCAAATCCACGACAGAACAATTATGCTTTAAGCACTACTCTAAAGCTATTAAACTATCATAAGCTCGATCCAACTTGTTTACAGAGATAAACAAGCCGAGTTCAAGCTCGAAAATTATTTTTTCTATAAACAAGCTGAGCTCAAACCATTATTTTGGCTCGAATTCTTAATAAGCCGAGCCAAGCTTGCATAGATGATAAGTTCGAGTCGAGCTTGAATAACCGATATTCGAGCTTGCTCGGTCGTTTAAGAGCTCTAAGCACTAGAACAACACACTACACAAGAGACAACTTAGGGTGTGTTTGTTTGGGGGATTTGATTGGATTTATACTATTCATTTCATTTTTTTTCCCCCAAAACATCAAATCAAACACCTATTTTTTATTTTTTATATTATACTAAAAATCGATTTTACATTCAAAACATCACATCAACACCTATTTATATCACATCATACAACTATTCAAATTCAAAATTTGTACTATTCAAATCCCAACTTAAAATCCAAACCCCTAAACAAACACACCCTAAGGGATGAACTTGTAGTGCCATCTTCGAAGAATACATGCAAGCTTTAGCATTATTCATCTACTGTTCTTAATCAATCAATCGATCGATTGCCACTCCCAAGCACAGCCACAGTCACTCAATTCTGCTCTATTCTATTATTAGTTCAAAATCAAAATCGCATATTTATCCCGCGTAACGGTTTTGATTTTGAAGATGATCATCTGCATTACATTACAGACATACATACATACATACAACTATCTATTTCAATGTTACCACATAAGTGATTACAACTAATATACTATTTTATCCATCCCCATCATATATTTACGAAAAGGAAGATTAACTAACCCCATATAGTGAAGTAAACACGAACTTATGTGTTTAAAGTATGTGAATAATTCAGACTGGAATCAAGATACACATTTATAGAATTATAATATCTGAAACTCTGATTAAAGATTATAAATTTATCACACAATCAAGATTATAGACATAGATAGCAATTTCTTCCACCCAATCACAAGCTTGATCAAATTCAAAAATTCAAGACCATTAGAACTATTTCAAAAGTTTATTTCAGTTATTTTAAATGCACTCGGACAGCAGTAGATCACATTAAGCCATTTCATTTCATAAGAAATGGGACAAGTAGGGAAGCTAATCAACTTACCGATCAGGAAAGTTATTGATGATGTTCCGTGTTCTTGGACAAATTAGTCTCTGCTCCACGTGCAATACAGCAGTCTTAAATGTCTTCAACTAGAGACATGGCTGCAACATCTAGTTTATAATGGATAATCATTTCAATCAATATGACAGAACAACACTCATCCTTATGCATCAATGCTCCTATTTCCTTCTTTGAACAGTAATAAATAAAGTCAAAAAATCAAACTGGTCATCAAATCGGAAACTTCACCAGTTCAAGAACTAATGGTTGAATTGTTGCTTCAATCATATAAACTGAAGATGTCATAATTGCAATATAACTAATATATTGAATATTGTAAATAGCAAGCAAATAGCTATTTGTTTTATGAGTACAGGTAAAGTATTTTAATCACAAATCTAACAAGGAATATATCTCACAAAGTCGAAAACTATGATGGATTAAAAGGAAGTGAAATTTATATTCTTGGCACAGACCTAAAGTCAGTTCAGACATTGCGATCGCAACTTTTTCCAGTTGTAACAAGTTGGAAGGTTTTTCTAGAATTCAGTCATACGGGTCTAAAGTCTTAACAAATTGCTTTTAGGATTCAGCAGAGTTAAGAGAGTTCGATCAACCTCGCTTTCAAATCCTCACTTAAAATGATGCTAAATTTTCAAGATCGATTAATAAATACCATTGCTAATCTAACTAAGACACTTTCTGCAAAATTACTTTGTAAAACTATTATATCCTATAACTGGAAAGAAAATGACTGGAATTAGACAGATTCCAACCTTCAAACAAATGAAAATGGAAGAACAATCATCCAGTTACAGAAAAGTCAAAGAAGGGTAAAGGGGATCTATCATCTATATAACTAGAGTTATTGTTGCTAACCTGATTTTCATTACGGCTCCTTAGGTTTTGGTTGTTGACGCCAACTTTATTATGCGATTTCCCAAATGTGCAACAATGATCCAAGACCACTTCATCCCAACAAAATGTCTCCAAGAATTTCGACCAATGTAAAACTAAAGCTGATATCAGCTTCAGTTTTTCCTATAATATATACCATGGAGTTTTACTTAGGTTCTCACGAATAATGACCAATCTTATACCCAGATTTTCCGATTCAAGCGCACCTAATAGCAAAATCAGCGCTGTTCTTGTTGGAAAGAAAATAGATACCCTGCATATCAGAATCATATAAATCAACCAGCACTTAAGGAAAGTAAAAATCATTTCGCAGCGTAAAAAATCAAATCAAAATCAAAAGCGGCAACAACTACCCCTAAATTTATAGCGCGCACAATGATTTAGGCAAGGAATCACAAACAAACACAGAAATAATTACAAACAACATTACATTATATTAAGACACTAGATACCGTTCACTGCTTTGCGCAGATGATGATAAAGGAGTCCAAACATCAGACAAGTTAGATCTGGTAGAGAAATTCACAGTAAATAAGCAGGAACAGCAGACAGTTTCGAAACTGGAACTGTTAAGCGAAAAACAACAGAATGTCTAAGTGCCGGTCCAATTTAGCTAAACCAGTTCTCCATTGCTCTATCATTCTTTTCACCCATTTATATACAGAATTATCCGATGCATCAGCACTGTTCTTGATTGAAACCCCGCCTTAATCCCATCTCAAATATCGACGCACTCTACTGGTCAGCTGACTAGACAGACTGGGCCCCAGCTGATATCCATTTATTACGGCTTTTATCCCGCTTGTAAGTCAACCATTCGGAACGTAACCCCTCACCACTGTTCAGATTATAAACACCAATCGAACCATTTACTTGGCATGTCGCTTTCCTAAACCTCGTGCGCTTGTAACATAAAAGCTCCCGACCAAACCTAGAAAGCGCGACACTGCTCCCTTCATCCAGCTGCCATTTCTTCCTTCTCCCGTCCCGCTTGTACACAAGACCTTTCCTAAATCTATCAGAATCTGTAAACATTTCACAAAGTTCAAACACATCAGTATTGCTCCTACGACGGCTACCTTCAGAATCCCCAGCTCTCTCATCATTTAAAGGCCATTTCTTTTGCTCCCTATCTTGCTCGTAAGATAATAATCCAACATTCAATCTGCGAACATTGCTCGAACCATCAAATACATCACCAGAACCATTTACCAGGCATGCCTTCTTCTGCTTGTGACTGCAACTTAGAACTTCTATCCCAAATCCATCAAATTCAATATTCGAATTATTGGCACATGCCTCAAACTTCTTCACTCCTGAGCCAGATTTTTCATTCTCCAAATTGTTTGAACCCCTAGTCTTTGAAACACAGTTCAACAAACTATTCATAGTTCCCTGCAACTGATTCACCTGTGATGCAGTTTCAATTGTAGCAGAATTTGAATTGAAATTCTTATTATTTTGACCCAATGAATCCAACTCACTGTTTTCCAAATCCGCCAAATTCTCCGTCTCCTCATTCTTCTTCGATGCCTGACGGCTACATTGTGCATTCTTCTCAACCTTTGACAAATGCTTATTGACAGTCCTACTTTTCAGCCTACGCTCATTCGAACTCCTCCTGCAAACCCTAGACGAATTTTTGAGCGAATTAGGAACCCAGCAATCCACACAAACCCCATACCTATCCAACTCCGCCCCCGAATAGCGCCAAGGACTGTGATCGCCGTTACACCTAACGCAATCCTTGTGAATTTTGCGCCCGCACACGGTGCATTCACAAAGATCTCCCGAAGTCCCCGTCGCCTGAAAGCAATAAGAACAAGTCTCACCAGATTGAATAGCCTTGCGACATTTCTTGCAGAGGAGGACGATCCGCCAGACGCTTTCCAAGACTTGAGGGCGATCTTTAGGGCTGTCGCGGTCTGCGTGGCGGCCGCAGCAATGGCAATCGAACATATTGGGCAAGTCACGAGTCCTCTTCCTCGGTGGCGAGTTTGATGAGGCGATTGACGCGGGATTCGGTTCGGAGGAAAGGAGCTTCATTGAAGAAGGAGACGGTGAGACAGATATGATGGCGCTGGAGATTTTTCCCAAAAGGCTTTTCTTCTTCTTCTACTATTACAAAATTATAGAACAAAAGACTTATTTTTGTGATGTTTATATTACAATTTTATCAATTTAAAATTTTTTATTCTCATTGAAATTAAAATTTATTTGAGTTGAACCGGGTTAACTTGAACACGACCGTATTACATAGACAGCCAATTTCGTATTCATTTGGGGCATGTTCAATGTACATGTAAGGGTGTTATTTCTTTTTTTTTCCTTTATCGTCATATCGAGCAAATTTTGAATATAATTATATTTTCAGTTATTTGATTTTTTTAATTATTTAATATATATTTATAATTCAATAAAAATATACTTTCTTATTTAAAAGGGAAAAATCAAAACAAGTCCAGTTGAAATTAAAATTAATCAATTTTAGTTTTATTATAAAAAATTCAAATCTCAATATAAATTATCTTAATCAATTTTAATCTCATTTTTACAAAACTAACTATGACTGTGTTCAACAAAACACAGCCATGTATATATAATCATTACTTACACGTAGAGCTATTAACTATCTGAATCGAACCGAGCCGAGCCAAAATTTAAGTGTTCGTTAACGTTCGCGAACAAGGCTCGGGCTTGTTTGTTAAGCTTTCGAGCTCGTTTGTGGTGTTCGAGTTCGGCTCGTTAAGAATTTTTGTTGTTTGAGCTCGTGTCGTATTTGGCTCGTTTAGGCTCGATTAAGCTCGTTCGAGTTCGTTCGAGCTCGTTTGTCTTGTTTTTTTTAAATTTATATATAAATTATAAAGAAAATTTAAAATTATTTTATTTAAATATTTTAAATTAATATTTTATTTATTTATAAATTATAATTTTATATGTATATATAATATTTATAATAAATATATTATTTAAACGAATGTTTGCGAACAAAGTTCGGACTAGTTCGTTAATCAAATGAGCCTGTTTATGTTGTTCGGCTCGGCTCGTTAACGCTCGCGAACGAGCTTTAACTGAGCCGAATCGAGCCGAACCGAGCCAAGTTAATGAACGGCTCGGTTCGTTTAACAGGTCTACTTACACGTCACTAAAACACGTTCGTAATAAATCACCACACGGCCGTGTATTGTTTTTTTATCGGAAAAGTCGTGTATTGTTTCTTAATTGCAGGCCATAAGGATTGATTCATCCATTCAATTCCCACACATGCGTTGCTATTAATTTCCCCAATCTTTCTATGCACATTTCCCCTTCTTCTCCCTTCCTCCCATCATAATCAATTTTTATTGTGTATGTATAGAGTGTTATTCCTGCAACAACAATCCAACGGGAAATCTAAGCAGAAATCAAAACTGAAACAGTTGCAATAAAGTGCTGAGAAAGTTTATGTAGCCATTAGAAGAAAAAGAAGAAACACAAAAACAATGAAGATGAAGATTACAATATTAGGGATTGAGCGGGAGGCGGGGAACCAAGGCCGATAATGACGGACATGGTGAAGAATCTGGCCGTCAGATTCCTAGTTTTCTTTACACTCATGTTGCTGCTAACAGCGCAGCGGCGAAGCAAACGGCAACCGACATAACAAAATTAAGAAGAAGGAATGCTTTCGCTCGATCGGATGGCAATGGCTGCGCTACGGCGTCAACGATGTTGGTGTATATCTTGGTGCTGCGACTAACGTAACTGTTAGGCGATCTGGCGGTTAAGGGGGAAATTTTAGATAGCGGTGTTGATTCCGCAGATGTTGTTTCTGTTAGTTCAAAATTAAATACAATCAAACAATTCACGTAACCTTAACTTTATGCTTTTCACAAAATTATTGCAATTACAATTTATTAAACATATATGCATGTATACTACCTTGGTTCGATACCATTCTTATATATAAAACGATAAGTTGGATCTTTTGGTTAGGACGATGAGTTAGATCTTCTGGTTTCTCCTTCTTAGCCTCAATGCCAGAATACGTAAGTTATTTTTTTCGTGAGTGATAGAATGAATTTATTCTGATTTTTTTATAGGTAGAGGGAGAACCATAATCCTAACATTAAAAAAATAGAACGTGGGATAATGATAACGTGGTTTTAAACCACTTTTAATTTGACCAGGCCAAGTACCATTTCATAATAATAATAATAATAATAATAATAATAATAATAATAAATTTATTATTAATTTCATTATATTTAAATCATTAATTAATAAGTGATACGATGTCACTTCTTACATTCTTTCACTTGGCCGAGTGACAGAATATACCTTCATGGTTTAAATAAAAAAATAAACTTTATTGGTACAAGTCTAACATCGTTCTTTAAGTATATACTAATATGAGTCATGGCGGTTTTATGTCAATGAATCAACATAGTTCATTCCATGTACCACATACTAATTTTCTACTTAATTCATTCATAATTGGAAACATCGATAATGACCCACTTTAATGTCTAAGATGGACTACATCTTGTTCAAAAAATCATGCGCACAAATAAATAAACAGAAAAATATTCAATTTAAAAAACAATGCATAAAGGAGTTCGATATGTCAAATACATAAACATAATGTTCATCAAATTACATTCATAATGCTCATTCTTTCAACATGTGCAATAAATGTCTTTGGAGACAATCCTTTAGTTAACGGATCCGCAATCATAAGATTGGTGCTAATATGCTCAATTGACATATTTTGTTTCTGAACATCTTCTTTAACGGCAAGGTATTTTAGATTCATATGTTTGGCACATTTGGAGTCCTTGTCGTTCTTTGAAAAGAATATTGTTGCGGAATTACCGCAATAAATTTTGAACGGTTTGGTAATACTTTCGACTATTCCAAGCCCTGAAACAAAGTTCTGCAACCAATTTTCTTGAACTGTGGCCTCGAAGCATGCCATAAATTCAGCTTTCATACTGGACGCAGCTATGACAAACTACTTTGCACTTTTCCATGATATTGCTCCTCCGGCTAGTAGGAACAAATATCCAAAAGTGGATTTTCTAGTATCAACAAATCCAACATAATCAGAATCTGAATAACCAACCACCTCTAGACAATCAGACCTTCTGTATGTATGTAAGCATGTGGTCTTTTGTCAATTGTAGGTATCTCAACACTTTCTTTGCGGCGTTCAAGTGATCTAATCATGGATTGCTTTGGTATCGGCCAAGCATTCCAACAGAAAAGCTGATGTCCGGCCTCGTACAAATCTGCGCATACATTAGACTTCCCACAATTGATGCATAAGGAATTTCATTCATTTGTTTGCATTCCAATTCGTTATGTGGATATTGCATGAGACTGAATTTGTCTCCTTTCTGAATTGGAACGACATTAGAAGAGTATTTTTCCATTCTGAAGCTCTCCAAAACTTTGTCGATATATGCCTTTTGAGACAATCCTAACAATCTTTGTGATCTATCACATAATATTTTATTCCAATCACATAGGATGACTCACCCATATCCTTCATTTCAAAGTTTTTAGAGAGAAACTTCTTGGTATCACATAATAAACCAAGATCATTCGTTGCAAGCAAGATATCATCAACATATAGAATCAGAAAAATAAACTTGCTCTCCCACTGACTTTCAGATACACACATCTATCGACGGTGTTTATACTTAATCCAAAAGAAGTTATGGTATCATGAAACTTGAGATACCATTGTTAGGAAACTTGTTTAAGCATGTATATTGATTTCTTAAGTTTACACACCGTATTTTCCTTTCATGTAATGGAGAAACCTTCAGGTTGCTCCATATAAACTTTCTCATCCAAATTTCTATTTAAAAATATTATTTTCACATTCATTTGGTGTAACTCTAAATCATAATGAGCCACCAAAGCCATGATAATTCTAAACAAATCTTTCTTAGAAATTGGTAAAATGTCTCCTTATAATCAACATCATTTTTCTTAGAAAACCCTTGGCAACTAGTCTGGCCTTGTATATTTCGATGTTGCCATTTGAATCGCGTTTGGTCTTGAAGATCCATATACACCCGACTCGTTTACAACATTCAGGCAACTCGACAAGATCCCAAACATCATTATGTTTCATAGATTTTAACTCATCATTCATGACATCTAACCACTTATTATAATTATCACTTTCCATGGCTTGTGAAAATGAAGTTGGATCGTCATTAAGTTCTAAATCACATTCAGACTCTTGTAGGTATACCTTATAATCATTTGAAATAGCAGGGCGTCTTTGTCTTTCAGACCTTCGAAATACTATTTCACGTGGTTCATCTACTTCAAGTTCATTATCTTCATTGTGGGTTAATTGTTCGTTAATTTGTTGTTCTTGTCCAGTGTTAGGAAGTTCAATAACAGGTGGAACAACAACATTATTAGGAGTCAGTGGTACAGGAATTTGCACCCTTACTTCTTGAATGTCAACCTTTCGAGGTTCTTGACTCCCACTAACTTTACTATTCTTAATTAACTTTGCATTTCCAACTTCAATAATTCTTGTACTATGATTAGGAAAGTAAAACTTATACCCTTTAGACTTGTCGGGATAACCAATGAAGAAACCACTAATCGTCCTTGAGTCTAACTTTCTTTCATGTGGATTATAAGCTCTTATCTCTGTCGGGCAACCCCAAACATGCAGGTGCCTTAAACTAGGTTTCTTGCCAGTCCACAAATCAAAAGGAGTTTTAGGAACTGTTAATCCTATTTAATAAGTACATGGAAGTTTTAAGTGCATACATCCACAAAGATATGGACAGTGAAGAATTACTAAGCATACTTCTAACCATATCCAAGAGTATTCGATTACGCCTTTCAGCTACACCATTTTGTTGTGGTGTACCTGGCATAGTGTACCGAGCACATATGCCACATTTTTCAAGAAATTTGGAAAACGGACCCGGGCATTGACCCGATTCATTATATTTTTCGTAATATTCACCACATCTATCAGATTTGATGATTTTCACTTTTCTATCTGGTTGTTTTTCAACCTATTTAATAAGTACTTTTAGAGCGTCTACTGACTGAGATTTCCCATGTAATAGATAGACATAAACATAACATGAAAAGTCA